ACGGGGAGATGAAGGGAAAAGGGGGAGGCAGGGGGATGGCGTTTGTAGGAGGACATTAAAATTTCCCAATAATGTGTCGTTTGAGCTTTCTACAAAAGTGATGTATCATAGGCCTTCATTGTGGTGACGCATGACGTCTGAATACCGGGAAGGCTGCTGCACTTTAAAAATCAATCATTTTAAGCTGATGATGACGTCACCAGACTTGAGTTTATGCGGTGATGACGTCATCCCTGTCTTGCCAGGGAAGAACGTACTAGGTGAGTCCTCAGAAATTCCAAAATTTCGGGAGATAAAACACGAATTTTCCAGGGAATCTTGTGAATAATTTTCTCCCGATATTCACCAGATTTTTATTTGCAATTTCGTCTAACGTTTCGAGAAAATTTAGGGGAAAAATTTGTACTCTGCTCAAAAATAAGAATTAATTCGGATGGAAATTTTGCAAAGTTCAAATATTCAAACAGAGCTCCTCTTCAGTGCGGTAGATCAAATGTACGGAGAGAGCCATTAGCTGGATACTTGTCACAGAGATAAAAAAAAATTGGTCGTATGAGCCGAAACCACGGTAAAGAATATCGTCCCGCACTTTCCGATTTATGTATGATCGCACTCTCAGTTCTAAAAACCTCAAGTTCATGAAAACGAGCTTGCAATCGAAACCGAATTACAGAAAATCTCGGTTTTGTCTAAACCGAGAGTATGGTTATACGTGAACCGGTTTGCTCCGCTGATGTGCAAAACTGTAATTACAATTCATAAGACCATATTCCACATTATAAAACTATTTTGACTTCAGACTACTCATAATTAAATAGAGTATAGAAGACGGTCTTCTTCTTGCTATTTTCAAGTGCAATTACCTTTTTACGGTAAAAGGATACGAAATATGGAGAGTTTATATCTTAAAAAACAAAAAAAACAAAAAAAAAAAATAAAAAAAAACTAGGCTTCGCGAAGAACTTGGTTTGGTGGTTTCAACCTCGATATATCGTCTCTAGATTGAGGACAAAAGCAAGTGGCGCATTGGAACCATATCTTCTTTTCCCAACTATTCTGTTCTCATTGAATTACAATTACTTCAGTGACCTCGACAGTGCACCCGTCGCTATAAGTCAAGGAAAGGCAAGAACGCCTTCAATTTTTTTCCATGCAACACGGATACTCAATGAACAGGAATAGTTGCATCTGAAGCAAGTGAGGAGGCGCTGTCACCGAGAATGATAAGTTAAAACACAGCGAGAGCGCCTTCAATTTTCCTGTATGTAACACGGATAACCAATGAGCAGGAATAGTTGCATCCAGAGCACAAGTGAAGACGCTGACATTGCAGCAGCTATGTACAGAATGCAAAGCAGCGGTGAAACCTATGATTCCGATGGTATGGTTTTAAAGTTTTCATTTCAGTATTAGTTAACGTACCTGGGCCCCGGAATCCGGGTGTGAGGAGAAGACACACGCAGACGCCACCATCGCAAGATCCTATCGTGTTCCTTTTTTTCTCGCAACTAGCCCTGCACAGCAACAATCCGATTTTCGGCGGACATCTGTACGTCACGTATATGGGAGGCACTTTATATTTTTTGTATACAGCTCCTGCAAATACATGATATTCACCTCAGATGTCCCAAAAAATTGCGTGCATACATAGATTGGAGTTTCGAAAAAGGGCTATATTACCAATCTGAGCAATAAACCCTGGTAATAGTTGGCAGTAGAATCTGTGTTCCAAAATACCATAGACCTAAAGCCGGCTGTAAAATTTTCAATAGCTTCTATAGCCGGCTGCACAATTTTTTATAGCCTTTTATAGCCGATGGCGATTGAGCCACAGCCAGGCGCTAAAGTGTATGCTACATGTTACTAATTACGGATGCTAGGACTTAGTGAGTTTTTGGACTACCGCTCTATTTTTGGGCCGTGGTATCTTGATTTATTTTGCGCGGAAAGCTCCGTACGTTTGAAGGATGCCTGCCATTCCTAATATGTTGGAGCGCCTTCAATTTCGTATGATACTGTGCAATACCTCTGGTGTGAAATAGTTGCTTCAAGCGTCGTGGCACGCTGCGGCGCGGCGCGGCGCGGCGGGCGGGCAGCCCGAAAAGCGCCTTAGCGCCTACAAACCTAACAGGGATACTTCACGCATTGCGCCATGCGTGAAGTATCCCAGTTAGGTTTGTAGGCGCTGGTGCGCGCTTATCGCTGGCAGCACGCGGCTCCGCTCTGTGTTATGCTCCAATACATATAATCTTGCGGAGGCAGCGTTTTTCAACTCATGATTTTGAAATGTTTGCACATCCTGTATGGATTATTCTCATTTTAATTGATGAAAAAAATATGTATTAAAGGAAAATTTAATGTGTGTTTTGTGAATATTATGTTGGCTCCGTATCAAACCGAATGATTTCCAAAGCACACGAATTTCTACACAATTTCTTATAGCCTTTTATAGCCGATGGCGATAAAGTGTAAAGCCCGACGATAGGAACTATAGCCCAGCTGCATACTTTTTTATTGCTTCGTATAGCCCGGCTATATGATTTGCTCCGCTTCCTGCAGCCAGCTATATGATTTTCTATTGCCTTCTTCAGCCGGCTATAAGAATTCCTATGGTATTTTGAAACGCAGCTCCTATCTCCAATTTTTACCAGGGAATTAAGGCAGTGCAAAATCAGACGGAGAAAAGTTTTTTTCCCGATTATAGCGATGGCTAAAGTAGCGAAGTGCGTGTTTTTATGTAAGATATGTCGCTTATATTTTACTTTTTTCTGAAAGAAAACTAAGCAATACTTAGTAATTCTTGAATTTTCCAGAGAATTTCCTTCACTCAATGAAAAATATTCTCAGGAACTTTGTGGATGATATTTTGTTTAGTTTCCTCATTAAAAAATAAAACACCATTTAAGGTATGGGAAATCAATGCGACGAAAATACCCAGTTTTTGACGGTGATACTTTTCATGTAATTATACAAGGAAAACTGAAAAGCTTTCCTCCACGTCCACGTTTGTGCGTGGAGAATTCGACCTGAATATATCGTTCATTCATCATAACAAGGAAGCTGAAAATTTCTCGTTACGCCGAAAAATTACTTGTTTGCGTCATGGGAGCAACATTTCACGAAAAGCACAATTTTAGTTGTGACAACATTTTGTCACAATACAATTTTACTGGTTTTTCATGGAACTCCTCGATCTAATGGTATGTTCTCTTCACTGAAACAGCAAATACAATTTTTTGTTTTTATTTTTCCGACTGAGGCCTCTCCTTAGATAGTAAGTGTTATTAATTATATGTACAACATTCCTGAATGATGCTCGGTGCCAATTTTATGTTACCAGATATCGAAAATTGTTTTTCATAGAAGAGAAAGAATGGAAGGAATAATTCTTACCTTTTGGAAATTTTCTTAGATTTGGTTTGTGATGAAGTCGAGTCCTCCGAACAATCGTCAGTCTAGTTTTCACCTGACCTGAAAACAAACCACGAAGATCCGGTTGGTATGAAAAGAAATCGGGTCGCTCTTGATTTTACGAGGGTCATTCTAAAAGTAAGTTTACCTATTCGATACATAAACTAAACCAAGGTAGATACAAAAAAATCTGTAAAATACTTTACAAAGCTATTATGCTCAGCTTTCTGACTTTTCTTACAGAATTCCCTATTTATCTTAGTTTAGGAGGTATTGAATGGATAAAGTTACTTTCAGGACGACCCTCGCAATTTCACAGTTAATATCGGAGAAAATGAGAGGTTGGAGAGAGTGAAGGAGAGAGTGAAGGAGAGAGACGGAGAGGAAAAGGATTAAGAGAGGAAATAGGAGAAAGGAATAGGAGGAGGAAGAAGGGGAACAACGTCGGTTCTGCACACGCGATTATTTTTACGGGCAAACTCTGAACTCTCGGAACAATTATGAACGCCAGCCAATTAGTACCGATAGTTTTAGAGTATGATGCATAAAATTATGCTAAAATACACTCCCCAGGAGAAAAAATTGCGAAAATATTTGCGATAGGAGACCCTCAAGATACTCTTCCTTGGAAAAAGGCCAATACCCATTTTCGAAGGACTCCCCTCCCATCCAAAAAAATATGGTGCCCTAGCTCATCTCAGGCGGTTACATTGTAACCTCTTCGGCTTGAAAATATCGTCCCATGTGTGTTCGGGGGTCAATCGGAAGAGAAAAGTGCCTCCACGCCATCTCTGCTGTGCTAAGGGAAAACGCTGTAAAAGCCCTCAGCCGTTGCCAAATTTCCTTCGATGAAGTACGGAATTCTTGGAAAACTTGTGAATATTTTTCTCGCAATTTTTTTACAGAATTTCACTCGTAATTTAATCTACAGTATCTAAAAATATCAAGGGAAGATATTTATAACTCACTTCAAAAATTAACATTTTATTGGAAGAAATTTGGCCACTCTCGAATGCTCAAACGGCGTTCTTCCTCAGCACGGCGGGTCTCCTCCTCTTTTCGACTGCACTGGATTGGTCAGTATGGCACAAAGCAAAATTGTAATGGATAATCCGTCAAAACACACGAGAGAAATAAAATTTCCGATAAAAATACAGAAATGAACAGATATTAAACTCACGAGGCTCTAGACCCATGTCTTGATTTTGATCAGATTTTATTTGAAGTGCCGTACTCTCATGAGAAATCAAATCATCGCTATTGACTTCGATAACTTTACCACTGGAGCACAAAATAAAAATAGAAATATACAGTAAACAACTCAAAGCTTTATGGAAGGGTTCCATTATAAGTAGATTAATTTTTTTTTAAGTAAACCGGATAAGTTCGAAAATTAAGTCGTTGCGCCTTCGGATAAATGTCTCCCGTGTTAGAGTTAGCTGCGGTCAGAAAATTTTCTCAACTGAGGTGTATAAGCAGGATTTCCGCCAAACTGCCGTCGATTTTTTTTATGTCATTGCGTCTGTCTGTGTCTGCGCAACAGATTACTCATGGTATATCCTCTCGATTGAGAGGAGGAAAGCATGTCGTTTGGACTCAATTTTCTGGGAGCCATCATACGTCAGCGCTACATTCTCCTCTCGCACGCTTCGAACCGTTCCTGCTTTGACGTAAGAGATTAATTGATTTTTAAGTTGAGCCCTGATATCCATATAATTCTATACTTTTCAGGGCTCAGGCGAAAATGACAACTTGCTTTTACGTCAGCAGAGTGACAAAATGTCTCGCGATGATGTACGTTTGAATATAGCGTCATCAATTCCAATGAGAGTCACGCACTCGCCGCTGCAGTGCGAGAAAAAAGGGGGAATAATGCTTATTTTCAATGGGGATGTTGCACTTGCAAAGTCACTAAAAAGCGCCCTTCAAAATTAAAAAAAGAACCAAAAAAATTTCAGAAAATAAGCGTATATGTTAGGAATAATCCGCAGACGTTTTCGGATGCAGAGGCAGAAAGTTCACAGAACACGCCCTTTCTTTTACATGTGGAGCGTCTGCGCACCTAAATATTTCAGGTAGAATTCAGATGGCTCATTTAAAAATGAGTCATTGGACCGAAAGGTAATCTCCTCATCAGAGACGAGTTACACTGTTTAAAATCTTGGAGTGAAATGCCCGGGGTTCATTTCACTCCAGACCGTGTATAGCTAGCTGTCAAACAATCCGATGGATATTTGTATGTATGCGGAGCACGCACACCACTCTTTTTATGGAGTGATATTCACTCCGACGGAGCGAGGATTTACTTGGGAATTGGGCAAACTTAACTTAGACTTTTCTCAAAATTCAAAAATAGAGACACCTCAACGCGCGTTGATGACGGCGCAGAGGTACAACTTTCTGTGATTGATGGATGTCCGTGTTGCTTGTTGCATCTGAAAAATTGAAGGCGCCATGGTACAATGTTTCACTTTGTGCTGCCAATGAGGTATCGCACATTGTTAGATTAGATTCGAGAGGAAGATTAACTGGAGTCCCTTTACACTAAATGTAAGGCCAACGCGAATCTATTTCTGATTGGTTCCCATATTTTAGGCCTTCACAGTGTCACAAACGGGAATAAAAATTACGTTTTCATCGATTGCAAAGATTATAGACTGGAATGGACCGGGGAATTGGGGGTGCGGCAAGGAACAAATGGAATGAGAGAGGGAACGGAGATACGAATTCGGAAATGGGTTGATCAAAGATTACGAAAAGCGTCCGATTTGCGTTATCTTTATTCCCGCATGTGACATCCATAAGCAGCGTTGTCTCAACTCTCTCTATAAAGGGACTCCAGGTTTAGCAATATGTTCCATGTTCCATTGTTCCAATGTAGCCGCACCGGAGGGCGCACTAGCGAACAGTGGCGTGGCGTACTTTGCGATGCATCGATTGATCTGCCATTTAAATCAATGGAAAAGGATTGATAAACAGGGTGTTCGCAACGAACACCTTCACAATCGATCCTTTACCATAGCTTCAAATGAGGAAACATCGAAAATCGATAATTCACGCCACGCAATGCCACTGCTAGCGAATTATTTGTTAATTGCGATCAAGTCCCAGTTAGAGTTATACTGCTCAGGGCCAGATTAAGGGGGTGTCCACATGGGCCGCGGCCCACGGCGGCAAATCTAGGGGGCGGCAAATTTTGCAATTTTTTTAAATGTAGGTATAAAAAAATCGGATTTAGAAAAAAAACTACAAACGAGAAAAGGCGACAAAATCTTTTATTTCCGGAGAATAAACTAATTCTGTCCTCTTTCAGTGATACAAGAGACAGCACCTTTAATTAGTCGAGTTAAGAGAGAGACCAAACTCGCAATTAGGCTTGGAACAGCGCGACTGAGAAAGAAATGATGACGAGGACTTGAGATGAAAAGGAGAAGCCCTCGGCTCGGCGGTCGGCATGTAACACATATTAGCGCCTACAAGACTGCACGAATACTTCACGCATTGCATCAAACATAGTGCGGTCAGCGTGAAACGGATAGCGCCTACAAGACTGCGTGAATACTTCACGCATTGCGTCAAACACAGTGCGTTCAGCAGCGGTCGATGTGAAACTCAAAGCGCCTACAAAACTGTCGGAATACTTCACGCATTGCGACACGGTGCAGTCTGCGTGTCGCGGCGGCGGAAGTTAAAATCATTAGACCACATTTATGTTTGTTCTCTCATAATTTTTTCGTTCATTTCTTATGAATAGAATGCCTTGTTCATACAGAGATAGGTGTACAAAACTTAGCTTTCGAGCAAAGTTTCGTAAATTTTTGCTAGTAGTGTTGACAGGGCTTTCCCAAAAAACGTGTCAAACACGAGTAAACGCGTCTCATGCACCCCACCCCCGCTGGCACGTTCACTTGATGGCTTTTATTGATGTTTCAAAACGAATGAGAAGGGGCGGCAAAATACAGGCGGCCCATGGGCGGCAAGTAGGTAATTCCGGCCCTGATACTACTGTGGCTGGTACGGAACTCTGACTACTTTGAATGTAAGATCATTGAATCTGTGTTTCAACGAAACATTTAGCATTAGAAATTCGACATACCACAGACATAAGCAAATATTTTCTGCCAGACGATTTTTTTTCTTTTTTCAATTTGATGTCTGGTTCTTTTTTTTACGATGTATTCGTAGACGTCTATTTAAAGCTCGAGTCTATTGGCCCCATACAACCCGCAGTGTTTTCAGGAAACCTCGAGGCTCGGGGCAATTTGACCAGGCTTGGAATTCTAGAGGTTAAAACATCATGCCTGATGGTGGCTAAATATAAGTCGATTCGTCCTTATTGAATAATGTGCGAGTGATTTATGATATTGATTAAAAAGATAAGTGAAAAATTTGATGTTCAGCGACTGTGATATTCACTGCACATTGAAAATTTTATTGTTCCAAATATCCTTGCGAATCGAATGTTTACTTTTTCTCTTTTGTACTTCTTCTTCCAACTCCTCTGGAGTTTAAATCGAAATTTTAATTTTTTCACAGTGTTTCTTTTTTTATCAGGAAAGATGAGAATTTGTAGAGGCAGGAGAGCTCTAATTTTAAAAACAAAAATAAAGGAAACACAATTTCCAAAAGTCATATTCCTTTATACAAAAATAATATCAAAATTTACAGAAATACCTCAAATTACAATGAGACAAAGTATTAGAAAGCTCGTTCTCCTTTGCTTACTTTGTATAAATGCAGTAGACTACTACAATAGGTGGGTAATTTTTATTTACAGAAAAAATTCATAGTGCTTCTTCTTCGGATAATTTATCTAACTTCTTATTAAATAACTAGCATGCTATGACTAGCGAAGTCAAAGTCTAATTCTACCAGTCGAAAAGTAAGGGGGAAGAGGGATGTATACCTAATCGAGAAAAAAAATCGGATAAATTATTTTGTAATGAAGTTGATGAGTTTTTGTACGGTCTCGGGTGTCATGCAGCAAATAATATGCCTGCATTCAAGTCATTTTGACGAGTATATAAACATTTGCGTGTTGCTCTGGCGCTTTCAAACTAGCTTTCGAATTTAATGTCCCTGTTCAACAACTTAATTTAATTTAATTTTAATAATTATATGTCTCAAAAAGCCACGAGCACATCCTAACAAAGGTTCAGCAGATTCCCGTGAGGACTTTTCACCCCGCACAAAGAGGAGAATGAAACAGGCACGGAAACACGCATTTTTGAATCACATTTCGATGATCGAAGTGCGAAACCACGTATCTGAGTTTGCGATATTGTAAACTTCCTGTCTACTTAATGTTTTTTTCGATTACTATATTCAACGTAATTTCTTGAAAACTTCCTTGATTTTTTTTATCTGCCAGCAGAATATTTATGTATAGGTTTCAAGCTATGAAGTTGACTTGTTTAGCCTCGCAAAAATAAACTACGAGTGGAAATGTTGAAACATCGCGATGGGAATACGCGCGGGTGCTTACTTTGGCCGTCGATTTAGTAGAAAGGAACCAACACGAATCGAAGGAAAATTGAGTTGATGCTTGATCTGCATGAGCTTAGTCATCACCGCTGACGTCACTGGCGCTTTTAAAGTGCAATTTATTCTAATGGCCCGAGCGCTAACGAGCACACCCCATCTCTCCACTTGCACATAGTTCCATTCCGCATAAAAACGTCCAATTCTGTGACCAGCGCAGCCGACCCGCACTGATTTTTCCCTCCTACAAAGTGAATCAATATCGTGGACGAGTTCTCTGCATCAATTCCTGCTCTCGCCGATAAGCTTCTTCCTCCTCCAGCTCTCGTTGTCTGTTTGCGTAACCTGGCTGTCCCTGATACTGCGGATATTCATTTTCCCGCTGGTACTGAGGCCCCACTTCGTACCTCGGCTCTTCATCATCATACGACGGAGGCCGCACACCCCGCGGATCTCTGTTCCGCTGCTCATACTCGTAATCGTCATCGTAAGCAGGGTCATAAACTCGATCTTCATTCCACTCGTCCAGCAGTTCCTCGCCGTCACCATAGTACCCACCCGGGTTATTTCGATTACCTCGACCGGGGCGGGCGTAATCGTCCTCGTACTCGCCCCGATTACCCCGATACCCCTGATCGCGATTACGTGGCGGGTCGTCGTCATACCCCAGATCACGATCATCGCGCAGGTCACCTCGGAGACCGCCCGGGTTGCGAAGCTCCTCTTCCCGAGGACCATCCGGATCGCGGGGCCTGTCATGGACTCCCGGGGGTGGAGGGATCGGGCATGCACCCTCTTCGGAGAGAAGCGGCTTCGATTCGCGGTTCGGCAGATACGTCTGACCAGTCACAGGGTCCACCTTCACCTCCTCTCGCGCGCCGGGCGGGATCGGCGGGTCCTGCCTGCTCCCGCCTTGTCGGGATGCAGGTGGGGGCACGACCACCTCTTTTCCTGTCTTGGGATCTATGCCCAGGGTGGGTTGTTCGAGGGCGTCCCTAAGGTTCTCGAGGCGACTTCGTTCCGCGGGGTCCCCGAACTTGCCCCCGACGTGAATAGCGGGATCGTCGAGAGTCTGCTTCGCTAACGGGGGCGGCACTTGTCTTCCAGATCGTGGCGTACTTACTGGTGTCCTGGATGGGGTGACTGATGGTGTGACTGATGGTGTGACCGAGCCTCGACCGCCTCTCTGCGAACCTGTTCTTCCGTAGTTGGGCAAGTCGCCTGCAAAAAAAATGTAAGGGACTAGTTGAGATAGAGAAACGGATAATTCCAAGGGGCATTTTTCAACGGAAAAATCGCGATATCGTCACCTTCCAGCCAAAGTATCACAAGCGTCATGCGACGTTTAAAAATTTCCGCCGCAATTTTTTTTTTTTTTTTACAAAGGAATTGTTCTACGAAGCTGTCCGGAAATTTCACCGAATTTCCTTTGTGCTGTAGATTAAATTCAGTGAAATTTTCAAACGGGTTCAACCAACAATTTCTCTGTAAAACAATTAAATTGCGGCGGAAATGGTGAAGCGTCGCATGGAGCCTGTGATGCTTTGGCCGGGAGGTGACGATATTATGGAATAAAGTTACTGTTTCTTACGATAAAGTAGCCAGGATCATCAACCAACGAGCGATTATCCTCGATCTTGTAGAAATTGTATCTCCATAAAATCGCCTTCGATTAAATCGAAATTTTTTCTCAATACACCAAGGTTTTTTGTTCGATAATGTTGCGATAAATTGCCATAAAAAACGCGTTTTTATTAAAAATGTATGCGATGAGATCGCAATTTTTTATCCGATAATATTGCAGTAAATCGACGATGATAAAGTCGCAATACATTCTCCGACCAAATCACAACTTACCGCGATCACTGATAATTGGGTTAGCTGGTTGAACTTTGGCAATTACTAAAGTCAGAACTAAATGGATCGTAAAATCGGCCTCTGCTCAACACGATACTTTCAACTCAAGTCCGAGCTTCAGCAAGGAAATCCAGGAAAAAATGGGTCAGAGGCGCCCATTTTTTTTAAATCCATTTTCTGATATTACACGGTGAAATAGGTAAGCTTCTAGGAATTTTTTCAGATTTCCTGTTAAAAATCTAAATAGCAAAGAAACCTCGTTTTGAAAACTCCAAAAATTGAGCCCGTTTGAAATGATATTGTTGGTGAGTTCTGATGAGGTAGCAGGCGGGGTGAATCGCATTTGCTGGTTGATTGAACTCAGCTTTAAGCTGAACTTCGCTATGTCAATTTGACTGTGGGCTTCAGATTGGCGGATTTCGATTGGATTTCTCTGCCCTCAGAAATTATTTTTAGGATTTACCTATTAGTGATTTATTTTTCGAATTTTCACGCCCCCCCCCCAAAAAAAAAAAACTACAGTACAACCCTGCAAAAATTCCTTGCTGTTGCCACATTGATCCCTATAAACGCAACCAATGTTATATCTTATTTGATTAGTCATAGATACTTTTCCACCAGATAGCTCGCCTACCTATCCATGAGGAAAACGTGGACTCGATTGAAGTTTTCATTTTTCGTAATAATTGGCGGCTTACAATGAATGTAACGCTCGATAAATCAATCATCATCTCTTTGTTGAAATCGAAAATGGTTGGGTTTTTTTTTATATGTACTGATGAGTAAAACATAAGAAAACCATTCAAAAGCTATCATCCCACGTTTGATAATAATGAGGATACCACCCTTTGAAAAATGAAGTGAAATGTGCAAATTACATTGAGTCTCACAACTTTACATAAATATCATTGAAGATCATCAGATCATCAGACATCATTGAAGATTAAAAATCATTGAAGATGAAAAAAGTTTGGAATGGTTTATACCACCAGAAACGAAGAAACCACAGTAAGCGCCAACGTAACGCTTGACATAACTTACTGTGTTCTTAATAGGATAATAAGGACGTCTTTGATAGACAAAGAATTTTTACCTTTTGGGAGAATTTATCATTAATTAATGGTCATATTCTATGGAACACCACCATAACATGATTCTATGACATTAAATTGACTCGTAAAAATTTCTGCTCAACAGGATCTTTTTTCTTTCTTTTAGAAACTTAATTTAAAAAAAAGGTTTGGTTCCAACGTAAGGGATGGGTATTAGAGAGCGTTCACCGCACGAAATTGTTGAATTTATGGTGGATTAGATTAGATTAAAATAGCACAGAAATCATATTACACATGCGAAGATTTTTCTTGTGAGCAAGAACGGTGAAATTTCACCTAGCAACGACTTTGAACGAGAACTGGAATTTGACTTAAAAAGTTATCAAGTTGAACAGTTTCTCGAAGAAAAAATAAATTACGTCAAAGAAAAGCGTACCATGATTGCATAATGTGCTACACATACCAAAGAAAAACGTACGTAATATTAACAAACAAATAATGTAAAAGTATAATATCTTCCTGCGGCGTAAAATGGCGGATATCCCCTTAAAGCAAAGCGGGGATGCTAAAATTATAGCATGTTACAATGCTACTGTGCAGCTTCGAAAAAATCGCCGGAAAAAGCATCCACTACGCGTGGCCCAAAAAAAATTAAAAAAAAAAAAAACCCAGAACACTAATGTTTATTAATAATAAGCCCCGAGATGATGCTCAGAGATGATGCCCAAAGATGATGCCCAGAGAGGAGTGCTGCCTTTATACCTGTTCTTCATCGTTTAAGATCTATATCGACGGTGTAAGTCAGTAACCACGTACCTTGGTTTATCAGACTCCCTGTCATATTTTATTTTTTAAATGGAAAATTACTCTACGGCAATTCTTAAAAATTGCCGTGATTTTCTCCTTTGTAAGGTGATAATTCTGCGAAAACTTCAAGGAATGATGTCGATTTATTCGCCTTTACGAAAAGAACATACCTAGGTTATTTTCAGGGGATGTTATTTATAAGAGATTTTCAAACACCGCTAACGAGATAGGTAAGGTATGTGGTTGCGGACTTACACCGTCTATATGGAGCACACTTTAAAAAAATTTTAAAGGAAATTTGCTGGGATGGGCAATGAACATGCCACTTGCAGACGGAGGTCGGTTGAGGAGTATCTACAGAATGGGAATGTTCAGAGATGAAATGTTGTCAGCATTATAATTCCATTGAAAGTAAGGACTCCTGTTATGAGACAGAGCGGTTTGCAGTTGGCGGAATTCAGCTAGGCATAGTCCTGAAGTTCTACATGGAGAGTTGCAACTTCTTGAGACTGAGGTTAACCCAGGACGGGAAGCTGGACAAAGCGATTCGGGATCGAAACCTTCAAAAAAGGAAAGCCACTTTATTTTTAATATGATTTTCTGGAATTGAGGAATTTCCAGAAATAACAAAAAAAATTATTCACAACTGAGTTTTAGAGCGCATGCAATTGAAGTATGATGGTTGAAAAAGTGGACCCAGGAAATGCAGACTATATAGAAACGGATTTCTCGCGAAAACAGTCTGGTTCCTCTAGGGAAAAACTTATTCGAAATGAGCGTGTTTCAGAGATCAGATATGTTGAAGCGACCATCGTGCAATGTGTTCTTACGCACAAGCTGGTATAGTTTGGGCACATGCAGAGAGTGACTGTTGCCAGGATGCCGGGAATCGATTTGGATTGGGTTCCTTTAAAGCGTAAAAGTAGGCAAACGGCACCCAAGATGAATTTCAGAGTGCCACCTCATCAGAATGCAGTGACGGTACATGTTGCGAGGCACCAAGGTGCGCTGCGAAAGTGACTGACCCGCACATGCACAATTGAGACTAGAACAGTCGGATACGTGGATGATAACACTGACCTGCCAGACGTCCACCGCCGTTAGGACCTCGCCGATTGTTCTCTTCCAAATCGTCTTCCAGATTATTCAACCGATTGCCTCCCCCGCCATATCCTTGTCCATATCTCTGCCCGCCTGGTGCGTACCCGTTTCTACCTGGCGTGTCATATCCTCCATTGCCTCCACCGCGGCTTCCTCCTCCTCCAGCTAGGCCACTCCTTCCTCCACTTCGGCTTTCTTCTCCTCCCCCTAGACCACCTCTTCCTCCACCTAGGAATCCTCCTCCGCCTACACCACCTCTTCCTCCACGTTGGCTTCCATCTCCTCCACCTAGGCCTCCTCTTCCTCCACTAGATCCTCCACCTCGGCTTCCACCTCCTTCACCTAGGCCTCCACCTAGGCCTCCGCCGAGACCACCTAGACCTCCACCTACTCCTCCGCCGAGACCACCTTGGCCTCCACCTACACCTCCACCTCGGCCTCCTCCTCCGCCTCGACCGAACTCATCTCCATCTTCGCCATCTTCTCCTCTACCTCGGCCATATCCGCCACCTTGGCCTCCACCTACACCTCCACCTCGGCCTCCACCTCCGCCTCGGCCGAACTCATCTCCATCTTCGCCATCTTCCCCTCTACCTCGGCCATATCCGCCACCTTTGCCTCCACCTACTCCTCCACCTCGGCCTCCTCCTCCGCCTTGGCCGAACTCATCTCCATCTTCGCCATCTTCTCCTCTACCTCGGCCATATCCACCACCTTGGCCACCTCCTCCTCCAACTCGATCACCTACTCCACCATTCCGGGCCCCTCCATTACCACCGTTACGAGGGCTTCCACTTTCTCCACTTTCACCACTGTCATCGTCATCGTCATCTTCTTCCTTGCGTATCTTCCTTGCTGGAGCACCGCCAAACCCTCCATTTCCAGGGCTTTGTCGTCTATTCTTAAGAGGACTTTGGGCCCTCTTAGGTGCTTGCTTCGAGCTCGAACCACCCTTTCTAGGGCTTGATCCAACCCTCCTCGAGTTAGACCCACCTCTTTTCGAGTTAGACCCACCTTTCTTCGAGTTGGACCCACCCTTCCTCGAGTTTGACTTACCCGTCCTCTGGTTCCGCTGCGGGCTCTGATATGGGCTCTTAGATGGTCCCGGCGCGTATTTAGTAGCTCTCGCTGGGGACTTTCGTGGACTCCCGGTGTACTTCTTCCCGTTCGGGATCTTACTCAATGGAATGGTCTGTTGGAGAATTGGCTGGGGCTTCCTGGACCCTGGGGACCCGGGGGACCCTGTGCCCCTTTGGTACGGCATCCGCCTGGGGGAGCGTCGTCCCCTCGGCGTGGCTACACGTCTGAGGACCTCGGGTCTCTTCCTGACCTCTTGGAGAAATCGTCTTTCAGCTGGTGTCCGGGTGGACGGTTCTTTCCGCAAAATCTTCCGCAAGCTTGCTTCCAGAAACGCCAGCCTTCTCCGTGCCTGCTCACAAGCAGTCATTTGATTTTTCGTCGAGATCCCCGGGTTTGTGAAGCATCGGCACACCGTGCCACGACATAATCCGTAAGCAGTCCTGCCGAACTGGTAGCGGCAGAATCGGTTGCACTTCATTCTATCCTCTTTCAATGAACAATTTGCTCTTCTTGCAAAGACTCCTGGAACAAAGAATTTGGAAATATTCTCTTAGATTAAATATCTCAACGCAGATTAATGGCAGAATTTTAATTTTTTCTAATTTCAAGCTGTTTGTCTCTTATTAAACTCAAAAGTTCAGAATCTTTAGTACAATTGGACGTTTCTCGTATCATACTTCATTTCAGCATTAAAACATTCAGTTGAACATTAGATCTAGTATCGAGTCTTGTTCTTTTGGAAGAGTAAAATTTCAAACCTATTTTTCTATAGGTCCATTTACAGCCGATTTGTATCCAGAATTTGGTGCAAAATAAAAACTATGCATAAGCACCCCACCCGGAAAAAAAAAAAAAAATTTTAGCCCGGAAGTATTCTTATCACCAAAAATTGCTAATTTTCAATGTGAATTATTGAATATAACACAGCTTTTTTCCGCCGATTACAAAATTGCAAGATATTATTGATTCTCATCAATAGTAGCTTGCAAAGGATGTGTCCTAGTAAGGGGGCTTCTTGGGCAAGAATTTGAAGACAAATGTTCTAAATTTCCCCCCAAAAATCTGTGCTTTTTTAACGCAAATTTGGCAACAATCGAAAGTTTATACGGCGTTTTTTTTTGGCACGGAAGCGTAGTTTCTATTCCTAAACTACAAATCTCCTTCATCGCCAATGGCGACGGAAAAATGGCGGGAAATTATTTTTACGGCTGTTTACCGATGGATTAGCATGAAGTTATTTGATATTTCAAGAATCTAATAAAAGATTCCTTTTTATCCAGCCAAAAACCACCAGGATATCGAATTTCATGCAAAGCCACCGTAAAACTGATTTCCCGCCATTTTTCCGCCGCCATTTTGGAATTTGTCAAAATTTCAGATAACTAATGAAAGATTCGTTCTTCTCGTGCCGATATACCCCCNTTTTAGCCCGGAAGTATTCTTATCACCAAAAATTGCTAATTTTCAATGTGAATTATTGAATATAACACAGCTTTTTTCCGCCGATTACAAAATTGCAAGATATTATTGATTCTCATCAATAGTAGCTTGCAAAGGATGTGTCCTAGTAAGGGGGCTTCTTGGGCAAGAATTTGAAGACAAATGTTCTAAATTTCCCCCCAAAAATCTGTGCTTTTTTAACGCAAATTTGGCAACAATCGAAAGTTTATACGGCGTTTTTTTTTGGCACGGAAGCGTAGTTTCTATTCCTAAACTACAAATCTCCTTCATCGCCAAATAAGGATGATCTTGCAACAAACAGCGTAACGCTTGGACACCGCCTCACTTGGAAACAAAAACGCCGCTAGTTCGCCTTCAAATTTGGCGATGCAACCAAACCTTACACTGAAGTTAATTAAGTTGCATCTACCGATTTACTGCTTCCTGAATCTACGATCCTGAGGTGGCCATAGGCAGTATAAGATGGACTTCAAAGGAGACTTAAACGCAAAGCTAGAAATATAGAGGTAAATTTAAAACTCTCATTTCCATAGGCTGATTCTGGTTCATATGATTTGCTGGCGTGTATATTGCTCGTAAAGGCAATGAGGACCTTTCACTTAAATCTGAGGAATTATCAATCAATTGACAGACACATACTTATACAGGGTTATCCAAAAGTCACTGACCACCCCTGTAACTTTTTTCCAAATTGAGATAGAAGTTTGAAACTTTGGGAATGTTCCTCGGTCTAAGGTAGCAACTTTTTGGTCCACCCAAAATTTTGGGGGGCGGCCCCCCTTAAGGGGGGCGGGGGCTAACTTTTTTTTTTCAAAAGGCAACCCCCCCCCTTTGTGATACTTCATTCGAAAGATAATAAAAAAAGAAAATTTTTGGCGCAAACCGCAGGTCAAAATGTTCATTTTTGACAAAATGGCGGCCGGTCAAAGTTCAAAATGGCGGAAATTTGGCATCTCCGTTGTTTATTGACGGATTGTTGTAAAACTCGGAATCCCGGGGTTTTTCGAGATGAGAAAAACGATTCTGGCATTGGTTTTCCAGAAAAGTCAGTCCTTTTCAAAATGGCGGCGGTCAAAATGGCGGCCTCGAGCGGGAAGTGGATATTTAGGCTGCATATCGTTGGATTTGCATGAAACTTGGTATCTGGGGGTATATCGGCACGAGAAGAACGAATCTTTCATTAGTTATCTGAAATTTTGACAAATTCCAAAATGGCGACGGAAAAATGGCGGGAAATTATTTTTACGGCTGTTTACCGATGGATTAGCATGAAGTTATTTGATATTTCAAGAATCTAATGAAAGATTCCTTTTTATCCAGCCAAAAACCACCAGGATATCGAATTTCATGCAAAGCCACCGTAAAACTGATTTCCCGCCATTTTTCCGCCGCCATTTTGGAATTTGTCAAAATTTCAGATA